TTTATTAATAGCACAAGGAAAGCAAATCAAAGCTGAAGGTATCAGACTGGTTTTGTCCTTCCCTGCCTGTTCCAGCTCTGCTGCCTTGAATAGTTCCTTAATTTGATTTCTTGTAATGAGGAACTTCTGGAACTGGCTGAATTCTGCAAAATTAGATTGTCTGCTCTTTGCTTTTTCCAAGTGGGAATGCTTTGGAGATTTCTCTCCCACTTCGGCAGAACTCAGAAGGAATCTGAGTTGTGTGTGTGTGTCTATCCAGGCAGCAGGAGGGGAAGGAGAAGTAGTAGCAAACGCTTTTCCCAGTGTTGATTTAATTCCTGTTGGTTTTATTCCATGCAGAGGATTTCTGTCTGTCCTGCAATGAATTCTTTCCCATGGCTCATCCACAGCCTTTGTATTTTGACTTCATCTTCCCCTCCTTATTCCCAGCAGACAGGGATGTTCCTGCTGTATCATCCCAGTGTTTTGGTTGAATCCCTGTTGGAAAACTGTGCCCTGGTATCACCAGTGCAGATTGTTTGTGGACACACTGATTGCAGGAGTTAGAGTCCAAGGACACTGGGCTGGAAAAGGCTGATCCTGGTGTTCCTCTGGCCCTTGGCTGTGGCTGACACCAGCGTGACCAGTTTGCTGAGGGTGATTCCCAGTGTGGGAGTGGTTGGCTCTCTCTGGATGGTGACTTTGAGCAGTCCTGGAGTTGCTGTAGTGTTCCATGTGATCAGAAGTGCCTCCAGAGTTTTTAGGGAATCTGGAAAGCTTCTGTTTTCCCCTGGACCATCATCAGGGCAGTTGTGTCTTTGTTCCCTAAGCTCTGGCACCTGCCATGAGTCTCCTTAACCTCCTCTCCACATCCTGAACATCTGAGATAGGTTTCCTCCTTCCCTATCCAAATGCCAGTGGAGCAGGAGGATCTGTGACCTCCAAAGCAGCTGTCAGATCCCTTTGGAAAGGAGTTGTCGCTGCTGGAGTTCAAAGTGTTAAGGGAGTCACATTTCCTGTTGGAAGTACAGGAGGTGTTTGTTCCTGGGCTGTGTGTGGTGGCTCCAACGTGGCACTCCCAGGGGTTATCCTGCTGTCCAAACAAATACAGATAATCCCCCACAGTGCTTACAGTACAGTGCCTTTGGAGGAGAGTGTGATTGCATAGCTGCAGCTTCTACTCCCTTCTTGGTGGCATTGGATCCCTCTGTACCCTCCAGGCTTGGACAGGTACTGAACTGGGTGTCTAGGACCTGATCTTCTGTCCCTGGAAGTGTGATGCCCCTTCCCAACTCCATGCCTTCCCAAGGTGCAAAGGACTGATTCCTCCTTTTTACCAAGAGATTTGGAGCTGTTCATTTTCAAGCCTGAAGAAGAGAAGCTCCAGGGAGACCTCAGAGCCTTTTCCAGTGTCTAAAGGGGCTCCAGGAGAGCTGCGGAGGGACTTGGGACAAGGGATGGAGGGACAGGACACTGGGAATGGCTTCACACTGACAGAGGGCAGGGATAGGTGGGATATTGGGAAGGAATTCTTCCCTGGGAGGTGCTGAGGCTCTGGCACAGGTTGCCCAGAGAAGCCGTGGCTGCTCCATCCCTGGAAGTGCTCCAGGCCAGGCTGGATGGAGCTTGGAGCAACCTGGGCTGGTGGGAGGTGTCCCTGGGAGTGGGACTGGGTGTTCTTTAAGATCCTTCTAACCCAAACCATCCTGTGATTCCATGAACACAAGTTTGGGTTAGTTGGAATTCCATTCAGTGCTGGTTTTCCCTTTGACTCAGCAGCCACATCCCTTCCCATCCTGTGGCAGCACAGGGACACAGTGTGTGACCCTCCAGCCTGGAAGTGTCCCTGCTCCAGCCCCTCTGGCTCATACTCTGCCCCTTATCTGGGGCACACAGAGCTCCTGCCCTGCATAATCACTCTGCTAATGGCACTTTGTTATCTGGGCCGAGGAGGTATTGCCCTGTGGAGGGGAACAATCCCCAAGGACTGGCTGTCCCCAACTCCTGGCCATCCCTGGCTTTCCCAGCTGGAGTAAGCCTGGCCTGATTGTCACTGTCACAAGTTATCCTGGAAATTTCTCCTTGTACGCCTGGAATGCAGATCAGGGCAGCACAACTGCCTGAGAACAGTTAATAACTGAGTTAGGGCACAAAAGGAAGAGAGAAATTTATTGCTGAGACAACCCTAAACTTGATATAGAAAGGTTTTTTCCTCAGGGAAATGGATTTGGTTGGATCAGAGGCCTCAGGAATCTGTTTTGTAAAATGTAAGCACATTAAAATATTAAAATTACTATTTACAAGCTGGAAATAATGGATGAAAACTCCCAAGTCTGGACACCAGTTGCCCTCCTTGAACCTTTAAATATTCCTCATTCCACAGGCAGCTCCAGAGCTGGGGATCCAGGATTGCCTGGACAGGGACCCCAGGGACAACTGACACTGTGCCCTAAGAGCCAGGGCAAATCCTGGTTGGATTCATCCAGTGTGAGCCAAGTGCACTAGTTGAGTTGCTGCATTCCCACTCCTGGATCATTTGGCCTTGTCTAACCCTTCCCAAGGAATTCTGAGCATTAATTCCATTGATCAGTGTCCTTGTGTGCTGGATCTCCTCCCAGCACATGGATTGGCTTTTGGGACTTGTTCCCTGTGATTCTCCGTGGTCCTGTGATTCCTCTGGCTCCCAGGGAGTTAACTGCCTGGGATGTGCAGGAAGGCTGGCACAGACCAGGCCACAGACAAGGGGGTTTTGTCCCCACCAGTGTCACACAGAGCCACACACAGTCACAGGGGGTTGGTGTTCCTCAGAGGTGTGGGGAAAACTGCCTGAAGGGAAAACCCATTCCTGGGATTCTCATACAGTTCCTGCACAGGAGGTGAAATTTGGAAAGATTTGGTACTTTTTGAACCAAAATTGTAGTAGTTTATGGGTTGATTGCTCATTGTCCTGCCAAGGTGGTGGATCTGCTTCCCAGGGGAGTTGTGTGCAGAGCTGGGGAAGGGGCTGGAGAATCATTCCTGTGAGGGAATTCCTGAGGGAGCTGTGGAGGCTCAGCCTGGAGAAAAGGAGGCTCAGGAGGACCTTCTGCTCTCCACAACTCCTGCCAGGAGGTGCAGCCAGGTGGGATCAGGCTCTGCTCCCAGGGGACAAGGGACAAGACAAGAGGAAACGGCCTCAAGCTCTGCCAGGGAAGGTTCAGGTTGGCCATCAGGAATTTCTCCATGGAAAGGGTTGTCAGGCATTGGAATGTGCTGCCCAGGGAGGTGGTGAAGTCACATCCCTGGAGGTGTTCAGGGAATGACTGGACATGGCACTCAGTGCTCTGGACTAGTTGACAAGGTCACAATAGGTCACAGGTTGGACTTGATGGTCTTGGAGGACTTTTCCAACCTGGATGATTCTGGGATTGTGCACACATGGATGAAGGGTCATAGTAGCTTCTCAAACTGATAAATGGTCACAAGGATTTTAGAGGTTTGGAGAAAATGGTGTTTGTCCTTGGGCTGAATCATAGAATCATGGAATGGATTGGCTTGGAAGGACCTTAAAGCTTAATCTAGTGCCTCCCCTGCCATGGGCAGGGACACCTTCCCCTAGCCCAGTTTGCTCCAAGCCCCATCCAACCTGGCCTGGAACACTTCTAGGGATGGGGCAGGAGCTCACCTAAATCTTGCCCATTGCCCAGCCCCAAATCCCTAAAGCAGCCCTGGATGAAGGCTGAATGGACACCTCTGAGCAGAGTCTCTGGGAATGCATTCACAGGGAAATAAACCTACCAGGCAGATTCCATGTGCTCAAACAACTGGAAAACATTTGCCATAACCTCTGCTGCGGGCAGATGGTTTCCCCCAGTGAAGTCTCAGCTGTCCTAGTTAAAAAAGTGGCTTTGCAGATGGATATAAATATTCCCTGAGGTTCTCACTGCTGGACTCATGACCAGGGTTACTGACCAGGTACTTTCACCTGCACATGTGAGTTGCTAGGGGTAAATCCTTACAAATAAAGCAGAAATTGAGGATTTTGTACCACATTCCAGAGCTCTGATTTGTTTGATTTTATGTTGTTTTAAATAATCTCATGGAAAATGAGAGCTTTGTGCCCTGAGAGCTCCAGTGCTTTAGAGAAACAGGAAAACTTTGCCAAGTGCCTCACAGCACCTCAACATCACTTTGGTTTTGAGCAAAGCAAACCCCAAAGACTTAAACTCTGCACAGAAAATCCCCAAAATTCTTCAGGTGAAGATAAAACTTTAACCATAAACTCTTCCAAACCACATGAAATCAGGGTCAGATCCTGGCAGCACCTGCTGCTTCCCAGCACAAATCCACCACCACTTAGTTCAAATCACTTGGCAAAGTCTCCATACAGAAAGGTGTTTGTGCATCATCTTCACCTTGGAGCAACCTGAGCTAGTGGAAGGTGTCCCTGCCCATGGCAGGGGTTGGCTCTGGATGATTTTAAGGTCCTTCAAGCTAAAACATTCTATGATTCCATGGAAAATTGGAAATAGGGAGGCCAAAGTGGGACTTTGCCAGGTGCAAGAAGTATCTGGGAAATTAGTAAATCTCTTAGGCAGAAGTTTTCCTTGTGAGGGTGGTGAGACACTGGCACAGGTTGCCCAGGGGGGCTGTGGATGCCCCAAGGAGGTTTTGAATGCCCCAGGGATGCTGTGGATGTCCCAGGGAGGTTTTGGATGCCCCAACCCTGGCAATGTTCACAGCCAGGTTGGCTAAAGCCTTGAGCAACCTGCTCTGGTGGGAGGTGTCCCTGCCCAGGGCAGAGGTTGGGACTGGATGATCTCTAAGCTCCATTCCAACCCCTTAACATACTACATAACTATAAAACTGTGATATTTCTGTGCAGGTGATTTAGTAAGTGAAGTGGAAGAACAAACAAGAGTTGAGCCTCTTCGTTCCTTTACCTTCAGTAAAGTTTTCTCTGTGTGTGTACAGGCTCATCCCTGGGTTGAAGTGCTGCAGAAGTCACCTGTGCTCTCTCCCATTGCTAACTGCTGTTTTTCCCTGTGTTCCAGAGCCTGGCCCAGCTAGAGAACCTGTGCAAGCAGCTCTATGAGACCACGGACACCGCGACACGGCTGCAGGCAGAGAAAGCCTTGGTGGAGTTCACCAACAGCCCAGACTGCCTGAGCAAGTGCCAGCTGCTTCTGGAGAGAGGCAGTGTATGTACCCCACAGCATGGGCCAGCACCTACCCTGGCATTTGGGGCATGGAGAAGGGCACTAGCCCTGAGGGCTGGAATGCAGTGTTTGTATTCCATCCCCAGGCTGTGCTCCTGCATCCCAGCTGGGAGCAGCCAGTGCCAAAACCAGCTCATTATGCTGCTGCAGTGCCTGTCAGTTAATGTCTTGTGGGTCCTGCTGCTTTATGCACGGGCTCCCACCCAGACCTGCCAAGCTTTAAGTGGAAAACTTGCCTTTGGCAGTGATATTCCCATCCACTGGCTTCTCCAGAGCCTCTGGAGGGGAAACTGGTGTGTGCAGGGAGGTACCAAGGGATTAAACCCAGCAGTATGTTCCTTCTGGAATGTTGCCTTGGAAATTTGCCCCTGCTATAGTGTTGTTGTCTTAATAATCCAGAGTATAAAGCAGAGCCAAAGGAGATCATGTGCTCAGGAATTAGTGTGGCAGAAGGATGTGGGATATGCCAGGGGTAATTCCTGCCTGGTTTTCAGCTTCCTTCTTTTTGAGTGGCATTTGGTTTTCACTTCGTATCAGCACAAATCATGTTCAAAATGGCTTTGCCACATGATCTTTTGGCAGGATGTACATCCACTTTTCCCACTATCAGCCTGGAGCCTTGTTCATAAAATAGGAGACACTACCCAGGTTGTTGGGAAGAGTTAATTCTCCAGGAGGAGGAGAGGGACACAGAACAGGCTCAGCAAACTGCCACAAAGCTTAACCTTTGGCTAAGTTTGATGTCCAGTGAATTCAAACCAAACTGAGGTGAAGCTTTTCCAGTGGGAACTAGGAACTGCTTTACCTAAGGGCAATAAATACCTATTTTTAAGGCAAGATCCTAAACTTTGAGTCTGAGGGTGATCCATTGCCTCTCCCACCCTTCCCACAGGGTGGTTGTTCAGCCTGGGATCTCACATGCTTTGTACCCACTGTTCTTGGGAATATTGGAGTAAATAACTTCCCTGCACAGATCCTGAGCTTTGTCCAGCCCTGTGTATTCCACAAAGGAGCATTCCCTGGCTGTGGTGTGGGAATGGGATGCAGCCAGGGGGGTGTAGGTGGCTAAAATGGCACTGTTTGTGTCCCTGAATGAGATCCCAGCTCAGTGGGTTGGAAGAAGCACATTTTAACCTGGATTTAGGAGCCAAGTGGAGGCTAAAAGTGTTTCTTAATGTATATGAACACACTGCTTGGCTCAGAGGGATCATTCCAGGCATGGAATTTAAGGCAACTCCATGCACTTGGACTATGTCTGCAGTTCTCCTGCCCTCAGTGGCAGTTCATCTCCTGCTTTTTAGAAGCTTTCCCATTTTTTTAACCACTCATTTGCTTTCCTTTAGTATCCATAACAACACAATAAAGCCTAGGTGGGATATTTCCACCTACCGGTGGAATGAATGCTTTCAACTCAAATTCCCAGGAAGAATTAGCCTCAAATCCATGCAAACCCATCGGTGCTGCAGCTGGAGTGTGCAGTAACATTCTCTTTGTGTCTTTGGATTTGTTTTCTTTCTTTCCAGTCCTCCTACTCCCAGTTACTGGCAGCCACTTGCCTTACCAAACTGGTGTCACGCACAAACAACCCTTTGCCACTGGAGCAGCGAATAGATATCCGTAAGTATGGGCTGTTTCCAGCCAAATTCCTGGGAATATTTCTCACAGGGGCTTGGATCCACAGCTGGGGCTTTCCTGGGGATCCACACTTTGGGATTTTTGCCTCAGAAGGCAAAGAAATACTTCTTGTGTGTGATGTTTTCACCTCTGTCATTCACAGAGTTCAGGGCTATATCCATGGGATTTTTCCAGGTGGAAAGGAATGACATCTCTGTGGTCATGTGGACAAACTTGTTGACATTTGATAGTTTTCCTTGGGAATAGCAAGTTGCCTTTGCACAGGATGAGTGACCAAAGCAAAAGCCTTTATGGGTCTCTGCATGTCACTTAGAGCATTTAAGTCTGGCCCTGCTCTTCCCTGGGGAATGGTGGATGGATCCTTCCTTTCCTCCCAGGAAGGACTCTGAATTCCTTTCCTTGTTACAGATGATGTGGGAGATGAGCATCCCCAAGGAAATTGGGAATATTTGGGTTGTCCAGGGCTGTCCAACCCTGGCATAGACTGCCCAGGACAGAGGTGGAGTCACCATCCCTGGAAGTGTCCAAAAACCACATGGAGGTGGCACTGAGGGACATGGTTAGTGGTGGCCTTGGCAGTGCTGGGTTGATGATGATCTGGGAGAATTTTTCAAACCTTAAGCATTCCATGATTTTTGGATCTGATGGGTCAAACCAGTTAGGCTTGAGGGGAGGAACTGACCTTCCAAGTCACACACAGAAGCTCAAGGTTTGGCTCTAACCCACTGATTCTCTCCAAACAGCTTTCCCAAAGCTGCTTTTCCCTCTCAGTGTTCCCAGCTCAGCTCCATCTCCCCAGTTTTTGTCTACAGCTGCCCCTCTGCTCTGTGTTCCAGGGAATTATGTCCTCAACTACCTTGCCACGAGGCCCAAGCTGGCAACGTTTGTCACCCAGGCCCTGATCCAGCTCTATGCCAGGATCACCAAGTTGGGTTGGTTTGACTGTCAGAAGGATGAATATGTCTTCAGGAACGTCATCACAGATGTCACAAGGTTTTTACAGGTCAGGTTTGTTTTGGCACACCTCCTGAGCTTGGCAAATCCAGGGATTTTCAGTTGTTAGCTGGAATTTAGTATCCTGTGGGCAGACTTCCATCTGGGATGCAGTAGGGACTTCCAAGGCCAAGCAGCTGCTAGGACAGGTCAGTTCTCATTTCAGATTTGGAGCAGGGATTTATTCCTGGATGCTGCCCCCATTAGAATCCAATGGGAAGACACATCTTGCAACATTCCAGTTGCTCAGTTATTTTGTTCTGGCTTAAAGACACCACATTAATTAGCAAAATTAAGGGAATGTTTGACCTGTTGTCCTTCCCTGCATCTATGGAATCACCTTGGGTGTTTAGCTGAGTGATCAGAGCCAAATGTGGCTTAAAAACAGCAAGTTAGACAAATGTTATTGCTAATAATTCTCTTCAGAAGTGGTTTGTAACTATCCACAGTGTCACCTCAGCACAAGTTTCATTCCCTGTGCAGCTGGAAGGTTGTGGTTTTATCACCAACTATCTCCAAAGTGAAACTTCCTCCCAGAAACGATCAATACTGATTGATTTGCCCTGAAATTTCCAAAATCAGAAGTTGGAGGAAGACAGTAAAAGAGCTCCAATGAGCAGAAATCCTTCCCAAAGAAGGAGGAAGAGGAGATTTAATGTGCCCAAGGCTTTAATTGTGCCGTGGCACAGTGGAAAAGAAGCTAAGTACTAATATTTTAGGCATTTTCAGATGTTTTGCAGTGAAGTAAGATCTAAATGTTAAGTCATTTCAAGATGATTTTGCTTTCTGGGCTGGTAACTCTGTCCCAAATAGTTCTTAGCTGGAATACCCAGAGCTGAATTCCTTATTCTCCTGGCATAGGGAATGTGTGAGTTTTAATCAAGAACCTAATTAACTGGTGTGAATAACCTCTTGCTGTGTGTTCAGTTGGAGATTGTTCCTGTTCAAGTCACCTTTGGTGGCTGCTGAGGAGCACAGGAGGCTGCACTGCTCTGTCCAGGAGTGCTCTGCACTGCTCCAGAGGTGCTCCAGGAGGGTTTTCCAGAGCTTCTGTCGGGATGTTACCATGTGACACTGGGACTGTCAGCAGGAGATTGTCATGGCCAAGGTCCCAAGCCTTAAATATTCCTGGATTTCTCAATTGCAGATGGATTTGTGCAGGGCAGAAGGTGCAGAGCAAGGGAAGGAAACCTCCTTGACTAGTTACAAACTGAGGCAGAGGAGCAATCCAGGTTGTTCTTCTTCTACCATTTGATCTATAGTTTAACCTTTCCAAGGAAGAGTAATCTGTGCCACACTCAGTTCACAATTGGCCCCTTGTTGGCAGCTCCAGAGGCTGAGGAGACTGGGAAGAATGGGATCCCTTCACTGGGAACTGGGCCCTCCCTGGCAGAAGGTGGTGGGGACACTTGGTCAGCTGCTCCTCATGTTTTCAAGGTTTCAACAGGGAGAGGAGTTTATTTCCCAGACTTTTCATCCAACAGTTGTAATATTCATCATAATATTGCTAAATTTCCATGTGTTTTCCTACAGCCTGTGTGAAAATTGACCAAAAACCTTAAAAAATCTAAGTAAATCTCTTCAGAGTTAGGCCCTGACCCCAAAATGCTGATTAAAATCTTAAGGAGATAATTTGACTAACTCATGTTATTGAACCTTGTGCATCTTGAAAAGCACATTTTAAACTCTGTTTGGGCTTCTTTCCACTCACTAAAGTGAAGATAAAGGATTTTTAGGCAAGTCTTCCAAGTGGCAAAGTCTTTTTGCTGAAGCTCCACAAACCCTCCTGGCACTGACCCTGTCCCTGTGGCCTTTCCCTCCTCAGGATAGTGTAGAGCACTGCATCATAGGAGTGACAATCCTGTCCCAACTAACGAATGAAATTAATCAAGTAAGTGCTACAGCCTTCCTCAGTGAAGTAAGTGTCCAATTTTCTCATTCATATTGTTGTGTCCTGCCTGGGCTCTGTGTGCTTTGGGGGGTTTGGGCTGTGGGGAAATGTGTGTGCTTGGTGTTTTTTCTGCTCCTTTGTTTTCCTTTGGTGTTTTTGCACAGCCATTTATTTCCCTGTCCTGGTAAGATGCTGAAACCTCCTGTCTTGAGGAATTGTTTTGTTTCATTGGCATCTTCCATTTTCTTCCATGTTTTGGTGTGGGGTTTTTTGGGGGATGGAAAGGCAAAGAGCAAAAAGCTCAAGAGCCAAACCTAGTGAGGACAAAGCTCTGAGTGTGAGCACCTTCTCTTCTCAGTCCCCATGTGGTGGAGGAGGTGTCAGGTCCCACCTCCTTGACCAGGGAGATGAAACAAAGAGGATTTATCACATTATGCCTATTTTTAAACCATCCTTTTTATTCAGGACTGAATTTCCAGCATTTCCAGCAGGAACTTCTCAACTCCTGCTGGTTCCTCAGGGCTGAGCCCCTAACCCACTGGCTCAGTGGTTTATAGAGTCCTGTGGGGTTCTCTTGGCTCTTGGAATTGTGCTGGAAGCTGGAATGAGTGGCTTTTCCCAGACAGGCAGACTTACAGCCCTGAGGCAGAGTGAGGGTCACCACAGGTGTACATGGCTCTGATTTGCCTAACAGCACCAGGTGTAACCAAGGATTTTGGTTTGAATCTCCTTACTAAGTAACTAACCTTGAATTTTGCTGCTGTATTGACTAATCCAGGCCTTGGAGTGCAGAAATCCTGGAGGAGGGGGATTTGAAGGATGAGTAAATTGCTTTCAGAACTGGAAATGGAGGAGAAGGTTTTGGCCTGGCAAAGGCAAAGCGCCAATTCCTCCTTGCTGAGCTTGGTGAAGTTCAGCCCCTCTGAACTTCCTGAGCCTTCCTGTGATTTACATGTCTTCTGCATCCATTTGTGAGCCCAAAATCACTTCAATTCCTCAAGCCTGGACTGGGCAGTGAGCCCTAACCTATAGATCTCCTCCTAAATCTCAATCCATGTCTTTGACTGTTACCCCAAGGTTTTTACAACCCAAACTCCATCTCCACAGGGGGCTGATCCTTCACTTCCTTGGAGCATGGGTGAAACCAAGTCTGGGTTATATGTATATACACATATAAATCCCTAGAAATTAGGATGAATTAGGATGTGTCTCTCAGCATCTTCATGCAGCTTCTTGCAGGAGAAGGAACAGCCCAGAAACCATCACCTCTCCCACTCCAAACTCTCCAGATTGATACTAAAACAGGCCTTGAAGTGTTAAAAACTCATCCAAAATCTCTTCCTAATACCTTGGCTATTAAATCCACCCCAGTTTATTCCCAGGTGTGCTTTGTGCCAGCACAGGGCTGGATGCAGTGACTCATCTTGCAAAGCTTAAACCTGTCTAGAATCCCACTCAGAGTGGGGTCATGGCCATGGGCACTGCAAAATAAAATCACCCCAAAACCCCTTTGGGGCTTCTCTTTAGGCTTTTTTGGGGGGAGAACTATTTGTACATTGGCTGAGAGCTGAATTTTCTAGAGCTCTGCTCACTAAAGCTTTTGTAGCAGAAGCTCAGAGTGCAGATCAAATAGTCTGGGATGGAAAGAGCAAAGCTAAGGAGCCAAACCTAGTGAGGACAAAGCCCTGAGTGTGAGCACCTTCTCTTGTGAAGTAGCAGTTTCCATCCTGTAAGTACTGGACAGACTTGCCTGGAGGTGCTGTGTGTCTGCTGGGCTGGAGGAGTTCAGTGGATTAAGGCCAAGATCAGTGATTTAGGCCAAATTCACTAGCTTAAACCAAGTTCAGTGAATGAAGGAAATTCACTGAATTAAGCCAAATTTAATGGTTGAAGTTAAATTTAATGGTTTAAGCCACAAATTGCCAGGTTTAAACCCTGTGACCTCCTGGTGAAGGGAAAGGAAATAGGTGAGATCTGTCCTAACCATGGAGAGAAGAAATACACTGCACACAATTCTGGTGTCCTCAACATAAGAAGGACATGGAACTGTTGGAGCAAGTGCAGAGGAGGCCACAAAGTTGCTCAGAGGACTTGAGCATCTCCCCTATGAGGACAGGCTGAGGGAGTTGGGGCTGTTGAGCCTGGAGAAGAGAAGGTTGTGTGGAGACCTCAGAGCAACTTCTTGATATCTGAAGGGGTTACAAGGAGCCAGAGAGGGACTCTGTGTTAGGAACTGCAGTGAGGACAAGAGGGCACAGACTCAAGCTCTGCCAGGGGAGGGTTAGGTTGGATCTTAGGAAGAGATTTTTTATGGAGAGAGTGATCAGACATTGGAATGTGCTGCCCAGGGAGGTGGTGGATTCACCATCCCTGGAGGTTTTCAAGCTGAGACTGGATGTGGCACTTAGTGCCATGGTCTAGTAACCATAGTAGGGTTGGACTTGCTGATCTTGGAGGTCTTTTCCAACCCTGTTGATTCTGTGCTGATTGATGTGAGGTTAGGGAGTGAAATTGAGCTCTGCAGTGCTTGGAGCTGTCCTGGTTCCTGCAATGCTGCATGAGGTGTTTGTAAATGCAAAGTTAACTGAGGTACAGTGAGAAAAATATGAAGAAATAGAGATGTGCTGCTGCAGGAAGGCTCCAGCTCACTGTGATAACCCATCACATCCATCCTAGCAGGTGGGATCTGGCCAGTCTGGGTTGAAATGAGTGGGAAATATCCCTTCATTTCCCCCTTTTTCCTGGAAAATAGGCTGTGAAGGTCCCTGAGCTGTGCTGCTCTTCACCTCTTGGATCCAGGGAGAGATCCAGAACTGGAGTTCATTTTGTCATACAGTGAGGTCCAAACTGGCTGTCACTGCTTAACTCTCCTTCTGGGCTTCTCCTCCTCCTCTGGGAGGGGAATTTGAATTGCTTGTAGTAGTCCCTGTGTGTGCTCAGCACCTCCAGGTAGGATTTAACCCTTAGGAGTTTGGAGTTCAAGCTCCTAAAATCTTGAAGAGCTGTTGAAAATGCTGTTGGTGCTGAGTTGGGAGAGATTGAACTGAAATGGAGAGTAAACCCCCCATAGCTTCCTGGCAGGGGAACAGGGAGGTGGCAAATCCAGACATGAGCCAGGAATATTTTCCCTGGATTCTCCCCTGCCCTCCTAGGGCAGTATAGTCCATGGCTCTGGGGAGGGAAACTCCATGTCCCAGTGCTCCACAGGGTTCCTACTGGTTGTGCTGGTCTCATTGGAGCTGTGCCATGACTCCTAAGCACTGGTTTTCTCTCTGCCCAGGCGGATACCACCCACCCCCTGACCAAGCACAGGAAAATTGCCTCTTCCTTCCGGGATTCCTCCTTGTTTGATATTTTCACACTGTCATGCAACTTGCTGAAACAGGTAAGGAAACCTTTGGCATCTCTCCTGGGGGCTGAATGTTGGGGCAACACAGTCTGGGCTGAATTCCCTCCTGGAGTCAACACATTCAGCCTGAAAGCTCTGTGCTGGGCTTTGGAAAACTTTTATCTTAGGATTGGGTTAAGGAAATAAAAAGGAAAACAAGCCACAAATAGAGAAGTAAATCTCTTCTAAATCCACACCTGGACCATGAGACTGAGGTTAAAATTTGCTGTCTTAAAGCATCAGGAGAGAAATGAAATGTTTGGGTTATATTTCAATCTCTTTGATTTACTCCTGGCACAGAAGTTTCCTGTCAAGTAAGTCCTTGGCTCCTTTTTAACCCCAATGAAACCCACATGGTGAGGGGAAAAATCTTAGTGAAGGTGTGTTCAGAGCAAAGATTGGCCTTGATATTTTGTCACTTAATATTAGACTATGTTGTGTCCCCCAGTTTTTTTGTGCTAACTGTGGTGTTAATTTGCTTTAACAATGCTTATCTGGGGACAAGGCAGCAATTCTCTGCTGGGAGGGTTGGTTTTACCTCCCAAGAAAGCAGGTTTTCTTTCCATGAGCAGGGAGTTGTCTGTGTCACGGGAGAGTATCCCTGTTTTCCCTGCCTGGAGCAGAGCTGTGTAACCAGAGCAGCTCCTCATTTCCATGGGAGGGTGAGGTAGAGCACAACATTCCCTGCTGCCAAATGCTCTGCAGGCAGCAAATGGATTCTCGTGCTGAACCTTAGTAAGAACTTGCTTATCTGCTGGATCTCAGGGTGGAACTTGGGCTGGCAGGCCTGGCTGCTGCTCCCTGGGCTGGGGTGAGAAGGGAAATGCTGTTTATCCAGCTCCTGGAAGGATGGAGCATGGAGATGCACATGCTGTCTGGAAAGGTCATAGAATCATACAGTGATAAGGGGTTGGAATGGAGCTGAGAGCTCACCCAGCCCCAACCCCCTGCCCTGGGCAGGGACATCTCCCACCAGAGCAGGTTGTTCAAGGCTTTAGCCAACCTGGAATGAACACTGCCAGGGTCGGGGCAGCCACAGCCTCCCTGGGCAACCTGTGCCAGTGTCTCAACACCCTCACAGGGAAGAATTTCCTCCCCATGTACCACCTATCCCTGTCCAAGGGAAGAATTTCCTCCCCATGTACCACTTATCCCTGTCCACTGGCAGCGGGAACATTCCCCCTTGTCCCAAGTCCCTCTGCAGCTCTCTTGAAGCTCCAAAGGGCTCTAAAGTGTAAGGGAAGAATTTCCTCCCCATGTACCACTTATCCCTGTCCACTGGCAGCGGGAACATTCCCCCTTGTCCCAAGTCCCTCTGCAGCTCTCTTGAAGCTCCAAAGGGCTCTAAAGTGTAACTTCCTTTGTCCCAAGTCCCTCTGCAGCTCTCTTGAAGCTCCTTTAGGCACTGGAAAGGGCTCTAAAGTCTAAGAAAACTTCCTCATATCTAATCTAAATTTCCTCTTTCCATCTATCCCCGTTACTCCTTGTCCTGCAACTGCAGCTCCTAACCAAGATGTGCTTGTGCCACAGCATCTCTGTGATTGCCACATCCTGCATAAAGCTAAATCCTGCCTCAAACTCAAGCTCTTTTTGCCTTTTCCTGTCTAATTACATTGTATTTTCCAGGCTTCTGGGAAGAACCTGAACCTGAACGATGAGAGCCAGCACGGGCTGCTCATGCAGCTGCTCAAGCTCACCCACAACTGCCTGAACTTTGATTTCATTGGCACCTCCACAGATGAGTCCTCAGATGATCTTTGCACTGTGCAGATCCCAACCAGTTGGAGATCAGGTAATCCTGCTGGAGGAATCCACAGCATCCCAGCTGGAAGATGTTCAAACTCTCTCTGTGCTCAATAAACTTGTGCATGCAATGCCAGAGGTTCAGTCCAGCCTTTCCTTAGGGGGATTCCACACACAGTTCAGCTGGGATTGGTTACCTCAGCTAGAAACACTTCTCTGCCCTTCCAGTCTTACACCTTCAGTTCAACCAGCACTAAACTGAGTTGGTTTTGTATTAAACATACCTAAACAGCATAATTTGGCACCTGCTCTTCCCATCCCTGTTCTCACAGGCATTTCCCAGGCAGCCTCACAGGTTGTGTTCTTAAAATACTTCCCTTTTCCTCCTAGTTCCAAGTAGCACTGAATTATTTTATTTCTAGGGAAGGCAATTGTGTGAAAATATAAAATCCTTCGGAAAATTTCTTGGGTTCTGGTGCTATATGTGCTGAGATAAGTCTCATGGAAAGCAGGAAATGGAGGTAAAATGCTCTTTTTTCTCTTTCAGCATTCTTGGATTCTTCGACCCTTCAGTTGTTTTTTGATCTTTATCATTCCATCCCTCCTTCATTCTCTCCTCTGGTAAGTGTGCAGTGTTGATTTTCCTTCCAGGAGGGGTTTGTGGGATACACCTGGGAGGTTTTTCTGCTCGTTCAAGTGCCACAGGGTGACTCCAGACCACCTTGACCCTGCTGTGCTGCAGTGACAAAGTGCTGCTTGATAGCTTGGATACATCTCCAGGCTTTGGATTTGCCCTAAGAGGAGTTCTTGCTGGAATTCCAACTTGCTTTGTCCTCACAGTACTTGGAGTGTCCCTGCTTACTCGTGTTTTAGAGGGATGATCCTCACAGTACTTGGAGTGTCCCTGCTCACTCATGTTTTAGAGGGATGGAGCTTATGCTATTTCCTCTGTGCTCCTAACTAGATGCTCAGACCAGACTAGGAGTAAGTACCAAGTCTGGGAACACCCTCAGGAATGTAGTTTCTCCTTCCCCACTTTAAAACTAGGCCATGTCCCAGCTGGATGAAAGGGCCAATAGCACAACTGAGCTAAAAGTTGGATTATTTCTTGCAAAGAAGCCAAGATTTCCTGCTAGGCATTTCTCTCTGATCAGTCTGCTCCATAATTCATGCCACAGTGACAACAAGCCCTTTGGCTATGCAGGGAAAGGCCTTCAGAAGGAATTTTTCCAGGGAGACTCTCACTGCTCCTGATGGTGGAGGGTTTTCCTGCCTAATTCTGACTTGAGAGCCTCAAATATTCATGAGAGATTTGAAGTGTGAGACTCTTCTCTTGTTCCTGAATAGAAATGTGAAGCAATTGATTGTCCTCCCTCAGAGCCAGCAGCACTGAGAGGCTGAGCAGGGAGTTCCTGCACTGATCTGAGGGATTTGCCTCTGGATTGGGATTGCAGGTGCTTCTGATACCCAACTGCTGCTGCTCTTCTCAGTCCTCTTCACCAGCCTCTCACTGCTGCAGCTGCACCTTGGCATTTCCTCTCGTTTCAGTCTCAGAGCTTTGGGTTGAGAACAATGGTACTCTATTTCTTGCCACTCTTTTAGCTTCTGTGATGCTTTTCCAAGCCTGTGGTCCATTTCCCAGTTTCCCTGCCAGTCCCAGTGTGTTCTCAGTTTTCACCTGAAGAAATCTCTGTGTTTTGGGGAGCAGAGTTTGGAGAAAAGGAGGTTCAGGGAGGGCCTTGTTGCTCTCTACAACTTTCTGACAGGAGGTACAGCCAGGTGGGATCAGGCTCTGCTCCCAGGGATCAGCAGGAGAAGAGGGAATGTCCCCAAATTGCACCAGGGAAGGGTCAGGTTGGACATCAGGAGGAATTTCTCCATGGAAAGGGCTGTGAGACATTGGAATGTGCTGCCCAAGGAGGTGATGGAGTCACCATCCCTGGAGGTGTTCAGGGAAAGACTGGACATGGCTCTTAGTGCTCTGGGCTAGTTGCCAAGGTGGTGATGGGTCACAGGTTGGACTTGATGATGTTGGAGGTCTTTTCCATCCTCAGTGATTCTGTGACTGTCAGGATGAAACTGTTCCCTTGGGTGATGTGTTTCTCTGCTGCCATTTGAGTTGCTAACCTGAAGGAGCTGTTGTGTCGCAGCAAAGGAGCATCAGTTCTCAGAGATTTCTTGTGTCCCAAGGAGGAAACCTGCTGTTCCTTGCACTGTTCTCATCCGTCTTCTCCTCTCCACTCCCTGTGTCCCTGCAGGTGTTGTCCTGCCTGGTGCAGATTGCCTCTGTGCGCAGGTCCCTCTTCAACAACGCCGAGAGGGCAAAATTCTTGTCTCATCTCGTTGACGGAGTTAAACGAATACTGGAAAACCCCCAGGTGAGTGTTCCAGGTATAACTGAGGCTCTACTTCCTCTGCATCATATTTTCCTCACCAAAAATCCTTCATAATGTCCTTATCCCCCTCGAATATTCACATGGACACTTGGCACTGGGAGAAGAGAGTGATGTCTTGCTGCTCCCTTTTCCCACCATTCCTCCACCAAGGGAGGTTCAGGGTGGAAATATTTCTTCACTGGAAGAGTATTTAAGCACTGGGACAGACTGCCCAGGGCAGTGGTGGAGTCACCAACCCTGAAAGCATTGAAGAACCAAGTAGATGTGGCACTTCATGGTGTGGGTTATGGGCAGGAGGTTGGACTTGATGATCTTGGAGGTGTCTTTCACCCTGTTGGTTCTGTGGTAGTCTAAGCTCCTTGCAGCTGCCTGCAGAGCTGTTTCTGAGTTCTTCTCCTCTTTCTGTCCCCTCAGAGCCTGTCAGACCCCAACAACTACCACGAGTTCTGCCGCTTGCTGGCACGATTGAAAAGCAACTACCAGCTGGGAGAGCTGGTGAAGGTGGAGAACTACCCCGAGGTCATTCGTCTCATCGCCAACTTCACCGTCACCAGCCTGCAGGTACACGTGGCCTCCTTCCTCCTGTGGGGCTTTTCTCCCTTGTCTACTCCATCACAACCTCTTGTGTGTTGTTTGCACGGGAATTTGGGTTGGTTTTACCCAACCTGCAAACTCTGACTGAATCCTCAGTGGAGCATTGGTTAGTCAGTGAGTTCTTCCTGCATGGAGCAGGAGCAGTGTGGGGACAGACAGAGCTGCCAACCCTCCAGAGTCTTTCCACATCCCAACAGGGAAAAAACCTGGTTCAGTAAAGCTTATTTTTAGACTTATGTCTCACTTCGCTATTCCAAGGCAGTTGCAGAGTTTGCTAGTGATAGGAATATCATCCCATATTCCCTCTGGGTTTTCCACTGGTATATGCAGCTTGTAACCACAGCCCTGCCCAGAGCAAGGTTTAAACATTGTATAGCTTAGATAATTGCTTTTGGTTGTTAAATTTAATGTCTGGGAAGCAGGTTTGAGCTGGGCACTGTGTGGAGTTGCTGCAGCTACAGCCTGAGCTCAGGGGGAGTTGGTAATGAAGCCTCAACCACACAGCCTGGAAACTCAGCATTGCCTTCCAATGGTTTCTGGATGCTGCTGATGCCACTGAATCCAGGTGTGCAGTGAAATTCGTTGTTGAATTGGCACCAGGTCATGAAAGCTTTTTAGCTGTTGCTGTATCTAGTGGAAGGTGGTGGAAGGAGATGAACTTTTAAGGTCTCTTCCAATCCAAACCATTCAATGAGGCTATGTTCAGGTGTCCTCAACATAAGAAGGACATGGAACTGTTGGAGCAAGTGCAGAGGAGGCCACGAAGTTGCTAAGAGGACTGGAGCATCTCCCCTGTGAGGACAGGCTGAGGGAGTTGGGGCTGTTGAGCCTGGAGAAGAGAAGGTTGTGTGGAGACCTCAGAGCAACTTTTCACTATCTGAAGGGGCTACAAGGAGCCAGAGAGGGACTCTGTGTTAGGAACTGCAGTGGCAGGACAAGGGGTAATGGGTTCAAACTGAAGGAGGGAAAGTCTAGGTTCTATATGAGAAAAACGTTTTACTCTAAGGGTGGTGAGACACTGTCCCAGGTTGCCCAGGGATGTGGTGGCTGCCCCAACCCTGGTGGTGTTCAATCCAGGCTGGATGAGCCTTGAGCAACCTGATCTAGTGAGGAGGTGTCCCTTCCCAGGGCAGGGGGTTGGGACTAAAGGTCCATTCCAACCCCTAAATTCTATGATTCTATGAAAGTACCATGGGTAAAATAATGAAGATCCTAACTCCCTGGTTTGTTTTCCCTCTCTTTTCCTCTGGAAGCACTGGGAGTTTGCTCCCAACAGTGTTCACTACCTGCTGAGCCTGTGGCAGCGCCTGGCAGCGTCCGTGCCCTACGTGAAGGCCACTGAGCCTCACATGCTCGAGACATACACCCCAGAGGTCACCAAGGCTTACATCACATCCAGGCTGGAGTCTGTGCACATCATCCTCAGGTGAGAATGCCACAGCTGGCAGCACTTCTCTGGTTAGAGGGTTGGGGCACCGTGAGGAAAGACTGGGAGAGCTGGGATTGTTCAACATGGAGAGGAGAAGCTTTGGTGGGACCTAATGTACCTTCCACAGCCTGAAGGAGCTACAGGAAGGATGGAGAGAAACTATTGACAAGCGCCTGGAGTGCTAGGGCAAAGGGAAAGGCTTCCCACTGCCAGTGGACAGGGATAGTTGAGAAACTGGGAAGGAATTTCTCCCTGTGAGGTGCTGAGGCTCTAGCACAGGTTGTCCAAAGAAGCTGTGGCTGCTCCATCCCTGGGAGTGTTCCAGGCCAGGTTGGATGGGGCTTGGAGCAACCTGGGCTGGTGGAAGATGTCCCTGGGGGTGACAGGGGGTGCATTGGAACTTGATGATCTTTAAGGTCCCTCCCAACCCAACCCAGTCCATGATTCCATGCCTGACAGCACCTGAGCAAACACACAACACTCTGGTGTGTTTCTCTTTCCAGTTTTCCTTTAAAAACAGCTCAAGCACAGGAAGTTTTGTGAGTCACCAAAGGATCTCTGAGGGAGGCTTACCTAAATCATGTAGCCTGTCTCTTTTTTAGAGGAGATTTATCTGTTTTAAGCTGGTTTGGTTTTGTTGAGGCCTTGTTTAATCTCAAATGGCTGATCTGATCCGTGTCCAACGTGTTCCTGGTAGGATTGCTCTCTCACCAGCATCCACAGCATCCCCTGTACACCTCAGGTCCCTCAGAGCAGAGAGGAGTCGCCATGCAGAGCGTGAGTCACTTCATTTCACACCTCTGCCCTAGGATGGCACAAATTACACCTCACATTACCTTTGCTTTTCCATTGGTTTGAGTGCAGGAATAGCTCCCAGGATTCCACTGCAGTGGCTGGACTTGTGGGGGATGGATTCCCCTTTGGGTGTCTTTGTGTTGGGTGAAAACAAGTGGTCAGATGGAGGAAAATAATATCTCTCCTAGGGAAAACTAAAGGGCTTATCCTTTTGTCTCTATCTTTAGAGGTTGTAGCTGCCTCATCCCTGGAAGTGTTCCAGGCCAGGTTGGATGGAGCTTGGACCAACAAACAGCTAGTGGATGGTGTCCCTGCTCATGGCATGGAATTAGACGAGCTTTAAGGTCTCTTCCAACCCAAACTATTCCAGGATTCTGTGATCTGGCAATGCAAGGGAGGAACAGCAGGTTTAGCTAGTTCTGGAGTTCATGATGAGTTTATTGCTGAGGTTAATGTATGTAGAGGAAAAGACAATGAGAGCTCTGAGATGGGAAGTTTTGTTGTAGAAACACAAAGCAGAGACTGTTCTGGGCACTGCATATTCCGCTCATAGACCTGGATAAGTGTTAAAAGACCTGTATACGTGTAAGAAGACCTGGATGAATGTTAAAGATCTAGGGAGAGGTTACTCCCCCCAGGTTCTGTTGCCCTTTTCCACCTGCAGCACTGCTGTCCCCCTGATCTCTGGCTACAGTGATGCTCAGGTGTTGGTCTGTGTCTCTCTCCATCATGACAGAGGCACAGCCAGTCCCTGAAACTGCTCTTTGCATGGGAAACACCCTCAACCCACCACAAAGAACCTCATGGTATGGTTTGCACCATCTAAGGGTTATAAATCCTTGTCTGCTGTGCTTTGTCCCTGCTCAGGGATGGCTTGGAGGACCCCCTGGACGACACTGGCCTCGTGCAGCAGCAGCTGGACCAGCTCTCCACCATCGGCCGCTGCGAGTACGAGAAGACATGTGCTCTACTGGTGCAGCTCTTCGACCAGTCAGCCCAGTCCTACCAGGAGCTGCTGCAGAGTGCCACTGCCAGCCCCATGGACGTGGCTGTGCAGGAAGGTGAGTCTGGACACAGAGCTGGGGCACATCCTCAAAGGAACTCTTCCAGAAGGACTTCATTCCTGGTAAAACCCATGCAGTGGGGAGGAACATCTCCCACACAGTCCCTTAGGGAGGTGCCTGCATGGCACAGAAGGGTTTGGGCTGTGGACAGACACTCCCAGCACACACCACACTGCTGGATGGAGATACTGCTGTGCTGCAACTCGCTCCATTCCCTTTTTTGGGGGGAAGTATAGTGCATCTCCTTGCCTGGTCTTCCAGAGACAAGTTGTGATGGTGTTCCCCATGGAACATGGGATGGGAATGCCCACTCCATCCCTCTTTGGCCTGAGGTGGGATGTGGGTGCCCTTTGGCCCCTCCTCACTGGCTGTAGACATTTCTGTCCTACAAGTGACTCCATTCCTGTACTGTGGAGAAATATAATGCATTGCACCGAATCTCCTGGGCTGGAAGGGACAAACAAGGATCATCCATTCCAGCTCCTGGGCCTGTACAGGACACCCTAATAATCCCACTATGTGCCTGAGAGCATTGTCCAAACACTCCTTGAGCTCTATCAGGCTTGACATCTCCTTTCCTCATCTTCCAGAGACAAGTCATGAGGGTGTTCCCATCCAGCACTGCCCACCCCATCCCTCTGTGGCCTGAGGTGGGATGTGGGTGCTCATTTGAGCCTCCTCACTGGCTGTGTGGCAGAAACCTCCAGCTGGTTGATGGTGATGAGTAACTGGGAGTTGAGATTTCACCTGGTGCCACTGTCTGAAGTGGTTTGTGCCCACAGCCCGGGTGGGCCCAGCCTGGAGGGTCTGTACTGGCCCAGCTGGTTGGGTCAGGAGTTGTTTAACACTGGCCACGATACAGCAGCTCCTTGCGGGTTCAGGTGTCACTAGGTTATTCCTCTGTGGCTGCAGCTTCCCCTTCCCTGGAGGAGTTGGGGGCACCAGCAGAGGTATGGGAGTTGTTCCTTTTCCTTCTGAAACAGCAGTCTGATCCCACCCAGTCATTCCTTTTGGTTTTCATGGGGGAAATCTCCACATGGTGTTGACTTCTCCACAGACTTTGAAGGAATAAACATTCCCTGCTGGAATATGTAAACACAGAGTAGCATTTTCCAAGGAAGTGACTTTCTACAGTGGAAAAGCTTTGAATAATGACAATATTCCAGGTAAACCTGGCACTGTTGTCTGTCTTCCAGTAAATCCTGGAATGGTTTGGACTGGAATCCTACTGCTCCAGTCTTGGAGTATCATAGAATAGAAGCTCCTCAGGGCATGTGCTCTGTGTACTTAAGCACCTTGTGTCAGGGAAAAGGAGCCAATATTCCCCTGGCTGCCTTGGGGCAGGGTGGGATGTGTCAGGGATCAGTACCCCAAGGCACTGTTGTCTGTCTTCCAGTAAATCCTGGAATGGTTTGGACTGGAATCCTACTGCTCCAGTCTTGGAGTATCATAGAATAGAAGCTCCTCAGGGCATGTGCTCTGTGTACTTAAGCACCTTGTGTCAGGGAAAAGGAGCCAATATTCCCCTGGCTGCCTTGGGGCAGGGTGGGATGTGTCAGGGATCAGTACCCCAACAGCTCTCAGCACCTCAGTGAAGTTCTCCACCAGCTCATGGAGGCTCGCTCCTCTTGTCTTGTGCTATTCTGTGGTGGCCTTGGCAGTGCTGGTTTAATGGTTGGACTCATGGAGTGGTTTGGGTTGGAAGGACCTTAAAGATTATCGAGTGGCGAGGGGAGGGGCCCCCTTCCACTAGCCCAGATTGCTCCAAGCCCCATCCAACCTGACCTTAAACACTTCCGGGGATGTGGCACCAAAAAATAGCAATGAAAAGATTAAGATGGAAAGATCTGTTGTAGAAACCCAACCAGAGACTGTTCTGGGCACTGCACATTCCATCCAAAGACCTACACAATGCCAGAGGTGTAAGAAGAGGTCACTCCCCCCAGCTGGCAGAGCCAGACCTGTCCTCCACACATGGAGACATTGGGGTGGAGATAGCCACCAAAGCAGAAAGGTACTCCTGGTGCCTGTGGGCAGGTGAGATAAATCAAACAGGTTGGAAGAGACCTCAAAGATCATCCAGTCCAACCCTACCATGGTTACTAGACCATGGCACTAAGTGCCACATCTACTCTCATCCTAAAACCCTCCAGGGATGGGGAATCCACCACCTCCCTGGGCAGCACATTCCAATGTCTGATCACTCTCTCTGTAACAAATCTCTTTTAATATCCAACCTAACCCTCCCCTGGCAGAGCTTGAGTCTGTGCCCTCTTGTCCTGCTGCTGGTTGCCTGGGAGAAGAGACCAACCCCCACCTGACTCCAACCTGCTGTCAGGGAGTTGCAGAGGGTGAGAAGGTCTCCCCTTAGGGTGCAGGTGTGGTGAGTGACATGGGGCTGTGTGTGCTCTGTGGTTTCAGGGCGCCTGACGTGGCTGGTGTACATCATCGGGGCCGTGATCGGTGGTCGGGTGTCCTTCGCCAGCACGGACGAGCAGGATGCCATGGATGGAGAGTTGGTCTGTCGGTAGGGACCCACCACTGCTGCAGGCAGCCAAGGAACTGCTGTCCCCCACATGCCACCCTCTGCTTCCCCTCCTGTCACTCCAAACCCAGTGGAGTTAGCCAGATGATGGCTGCAAAGTTGTGTAGGGCTTGGCTAAATTGGAAGTTTGGGTTAGGAGGAGAAGGAGAGGGGAAGAGCATGTGAGAGGGGGTGAAGAACTTAATTACTGACTAAATGAATGATGATTTGGGTGAGGGGAAAATCTTTGCCTAGTTGATTCATAGTGTGTTTCATAGTATGTTAAGGGGTTGGAATGGAGCTTAGAGATCATTTAGTCTCAACCTCCTGCCCTGGGCAGGGACACCTCCCACCAGAGCAGGTTGCTCAAGGCTTTAGCCAACCTGGCTTTGAACACTACCAGGGTTGGGGCAGCCACAGCCTCCCTGGGCAACCTGTGCCAGTGTCTCACCTCACTCACAGGGAAAAACTTTTTCCTAATATCAAATCCAAATTTCTCTTTTTCAATTTTCCCCATTACTCCTTGTCCTATCACTCCAGTTCCTAACTAATAATCCAATAATAATAATCCAAAGTGAAATTTGTCCCTAAATACACTGTGAATGTTGCAATTCTAAAGTTTCAACTTTATAATACCATCCAACACATGCTGGATTTGGGGATTGGAAATCCTGCTCAGCTTTATTTGATGGATGTGAGAACATGGAGCTTAAAACCTCAAGTCCCACTGAAAGGTTTCTGCCCCAGAGCCTAATGCTCCACATGGGACAAGGAGCTGAAGTGTGAAAATGTGAAAGCTAAGCTGTTGGTAACTCAAGAGGTAACACCAAGCTTTGGCTTCCTACAAGGCTCATGAGTGTGAAAGGGGAAATTACAAGGCCCCATACACATTTCAGTTCCCTTCAGCAGCACATATGATGAATGTTCCTAGAATCATAGTATGTTAAGGGGTTAGAATAGACCTTAGAGATCATCTAGTCCCAAATCCTGCCCTGGGCAGGGCCACCTCCCTATAAATCTATTCCTAGTTGATCTTCTTTCCCACTTTGACCTTTGTGGCACTTGTCAAAAAGGATATAATTGGTTTTGCCCCCCAGTTCTGCTGCAGGTGTGTTATGTCCCCCCAAACTCTCCAGCCAGGTCACAGGGTGGTTCCTGCAGGGCTCACAGTGGCCCAAATGCAGGGAGAGGGTTGCTAGGGCTCTGAGAGAGCAGCAGGTTGTGGTTCCTCAGGTGGGTTTGAGAGCCCGACCAGTCACTGGTGCTAAAGCACCCAAAACTCACCTGTGCAGCATGTTCAAACCTGGCAGCAGAAGGGATGTAGAAGCCTTACAAAGGCTTTACACCAAAGAGCAATGTGCCCTAGGCAGGGTTTGTTACCAGCTCTGCCACTTCTTCACCCAAAATGAGTTACCACAGAAAGGAAGACAATCTGTTGTCCACAGCCTGGCAAGAGCAGCACGTTGCCAGACATCCTTCCTGGCTGGCAGAGGCCTTCAGCAGGGTGTTCTCCCCCTTCCCAGGGTGCTGCAGCTGATGAACCTGACGGATTCCCGCCTGGCACAGGCTGGGAATGAGAAGCTGGAACTGGCCATGCTCAGCTTCTTCGAGCAGTTCCGCAAGATCTATATCGGAGATCAGGTGCAGAAGTCTTCCAAGGTAATCACTGCCCTTGGCTCTGGCTCTCTGGGCATCCAAACCCCACTAATCACTTCTCTTTTCCAGTGAAAACAAGTGCCATTTCTTGGTTTCTCCTCTGTTTAGCTGCAAATACTTCCAGGATGTGTTTGCTGTGGTTTCTAGATTTGGTTCCTTGTGTTAACTTTGCTATCCCTGAGCTGGTTTGGACATTCCATGTCAGGAAGGAAAACCATGGCAGTAGCCTAGAACTGATACCTGAATTCAGTTTGCCTTTAAGCCTTTGTACTTGTGACCACCTCGTGCACCCATGAGACCTCTGAGCTTAGCATCTCCCATGCCTCCTCGGCTCTGAGGTGGAGATACATCTCCATCCTCTTCATCCCAAGGCAGCTGTAGGTGCATTGGTGCCTCTTTAGAGGTGTAAAATACCTATTTTAAATAGAAAATAATCTGTAAAGAATGTGAATATCATTGACTCCAGATTTGGGGTCTCTTCTAATCATAGCCTTCCTTCCCTACCCTGGAGAGTTTGGAATCCTTGATAAGGGGCTTGGAATTCCAGGCAAATACACCAAGATCCTGGATATAGTTGAAGGTGGAGGAGCATGGTTGTTACGTCCCCTTTTCCTAGGAAAACCAAGTGCTCCTGCTGTTGTGTAGATACCTGAAGCTGCTGTGACTAAGCCAGGAGGAAACAGTGATCAGGGCAGGGCTTGATGTGGATTCCATCAGTCAGACAGCACAGAGATGCTGTGATAGGGAAATCCCAGAGCACACACACCCTCCTAGCACACGTGGCATGCAGGGAGAGAGAGGGAAAAGCACCTCATCCTTGAGCATTCCCTATTTCCTTGGCAGCTGCTAACCTGGTGCTTTCCCTGCAGCTGTACCGCCGCCTGTCCGAGGTGCTGGGGCTCAACGACGAGACCATGGTCCTGAGTGTCTTCATAGGAAAGATGTAAGTGTTCCTGCTTGCCCCCACCACAGATTCCAGGCTTTACTCCAAGGTACAACCAGGCAAACTGGAATCTGAGGGAGTCTTGTTGAGTCTAACACGCTTAGGACCATGTGGCTACTCGAGAGAATTCCAGGTGTTGATCAGGGCTTGAGTCAGGCACAGTATCCAGGGTTGAGTTATCCAGGATTGAGTTATCCAGCACGGAGACACAAAAACACAGCAGGAGAATGGATTCTCTTCCGAGTGGTGCTCAGTAAATCAGCTCAGAGAGGGAACAGCTCCTGATGTGCCCTGGCACTTGACTATTGGCAATCACCAGCCACGAAAGCTCTGTGGGAGGGACTGACAGCTCCTTCCAAGCTTCTCTTTGCTCCTGAGTCCCAGAATAGTGCAAATCCTTCCCTTAAATCTCTGGGAGACACCAAATTTGGCCTCTTCTGGACCCAACCTTTTTGTCCTGGCTTTGTTGTAGCATTTGGAGCCAATTGAGTAGCTCCAAGCTGAGCCCAGTGCCCTGTGCCTGGTGCTGTGCAGCCCAAAGCTCTGCCTTGTTCAGCATTGCCCCTGTTTTTACCTGCTTGGGGCCTTGCTCACCCCTCACCCCCAGCTGGGCACAGCCCCCAGGGCTGAAATGGCTCTCCTGGAAGGAGCAAGGGCTACTAGAATTCTGCAGCTGACAGTGGATGGTGCAGGTGCAGAATTGCATACGTCTGCATGTAGTCACTGCCGCAGAATTCTCTTACCCTTGCTGCAGAAACCAGCCCTGGAGTGCCCCAGAATTCCAAGGGCCTGGCTATGGGCCAGTGTAGGCTTGGGAGCCAAGTAGTGAAGATTATCTGAAGGATAATTTTCTAGTCAACCAAATGTAAGTACAGTGATTTTATACCAATATTTTGTGGCTTGTGATGTCTGTGGTTTCGGTGGAGGGTGGAGCTGATGGTGTTGGGTGATGAAATTGGAAGAGTCCACCACACAGCCAAAGGGAATGTGAGCAAACTCCTCTGATCCATCCCTGTTGTCCTCTTCCCTAGCATCACCAACCTGAAGTACTGGGGGCGATGTGAGCCGATCACCTCCAAGACTCTGCAGCTGCTCAATGACCTCTCCATTGGATATCCTTTTGGGAAGAGCTCTTGGGTGCACACAACACCTAAACCTCAGGAGGAGGGAAGAGGGATGCAGATGTTCAGCTGGAACAGGAACGTGGCACAGCTTCCTGAACTCCTGAAGCTTTTGAGTGGTGAGAAGAGCAGAGTGGGAGTGTTTGCTCAAGGCCTTTCCTGGCTGATGGATTGCAGGGAATGGCTGGAATGTAGAGTTTGGGATTTTGGGTCATAGTTGCTGTGTAGTTGACCATCCACAGTCAGTTCCCAACCTGTCTCCTGTTTTTCTACATGTTCTTCCTGACAGTGAGCATTGTACCCAGCTAGGTGAGCCTGCACCTCACTGCTCCTCATCTCTTGAGGATTAGGTGGGAATTGAGAATCCTCAGCCCTTAGCACAGGAGGCAGTTCAAGGTGGTGATTCCCAAATTAGGGATCCTCAGCCCTTGGCACAGGAGGCAGTTCAAGGTGATGGTTCCCAGAATTAGGGATCCTCAGCCCTTGGCACAGGAGGCAGTTCATGGTGGTGGTTCCCAGAATCATTAAGGTTGGAAAAGCCCTTGAAGATCAAGTCCAACTATAAACCAGCACCATATTCACCACTAATCCATGTCCCCAAGTGCCACATCCGAGGGCTGGTGACTCCACCACTCCCAGACAGTCTGTTCCAATGCTTTGCACCCCTTTCCATGCAGAAATTTTCCCTAATATCCAACCTAAACCTCCCCTGGTACCACTGGAGGCTGTTTCCTCTTTAATCTGTGTGTTCACTGCAGAGACTTGTGCAACTTCGTTGCTCTTGGAGCAAATAGAATCCACAATATATTGAATAACACAGGCACAAATCCCCATCCAGTGTAGCCTGGAAGTGCTCTCAAGCACTGTAAGGATGTTCTGCTGGCTCTGCTTTCTTGTGGGAATTCCAGAGGCATTTCCTTAACCCCCTGCACATACAGCAGTGTGAGGAAGCTGGTGAAGCTGAGCGCTGTGCAGTTCATGCTGAACAATCACACGGTAAGTCCTGCACCTCCTGCTTCCTCCTCACCCCTCCATCTGCCCTTGTGCAGCTGAGACAGTCCCCAGGGGAGACAATTCAAGCCCTGGACACACTATGGAATTCCCCTGGCTCCCAGGTGCTTCCATGGTCCTGGATGAGGCTCTGGAAAGTGCAGTCTCTGTTCTGTCTCTGTTCAGGTTTGAGGGGATGGAATTTTGGGACATTTTGCAGCCTTTGAGGGGTTGATGTGGAGGTCTCTGCTCTTCACTAAGCCAGACCCATCCCTCGTGGGAGTGTTTCAGGCCAAGCTGGATGGGGCTTGGAGCAAACTGGGCTAGTGGAAGGTGTCCCTGCCCATGGAGCAAGATGAGCTTTAAGGTCCCTTCAACCCAACCCATTCCATGATTCCATCTCCAGAGCAAAATGCAGGAGACTGTGATGCCTCTGCACACACAGACACACAGCAGTGAGCAATGTTTATGCAGTTTAAAGCAGAATGTAACGTAGAATACAACAGTAAGAGCTGCAGTGCCTCAGCTGCCACTCAAAAAGTGCTGACTGGGAAGAAGTGCCATCCCTTGCAGGGGTCAGGCCAACTGCCTTGGGCTTGGAGCACTCCTGGTGCTCTCTGGGATGAAGACTTAAAATCAGAAGTGACAGAATGAGCAAGGAGAAGGCAGCAGCAAAGGTTGGGAGTGTGTGGTTGTTTGATGCCCAGAGAAGCTGTGGCTGCCCCATCCCTGGAAGAGTTCCAGGCCAGGTTGGATGGGGCTTGGAGCAACTTGGGCTGGTGGAGTGTGTCCCTGCCCCTGGCAGAGGGTGGAATGGGATGAGCTTTAAAGGTCCCTTCCATCCACAACCACTACATGATTCTATTCTGGGATGCTCCTATGTTGGAGCAGTAGGACTCCAGCACCACTTCCAGGAGGTTTGCATTCCCTGGTGGGATGAGGAGCTGCATTCCTTGAGTTCGGGGATGTTTTTCAGGCAGTCCCACCACATCCTGCCTTTGGCCCAGGAGCTGCATTCGGTCCAGGCCTGCTGTTTGCATGGAGAACATGAGCAGAGTCACTTGGGAATGTCTGCAGAGAGCTGAAAGGTCCCCGTGGGTAGGGGGCAGATTCCTTCTCTGCTCCAGAGGCAAAGCCAGGCTTTCTTGTTCACCTGGGCCTGGGGAATTCCAGGATGAGGGATGGTAGCACTGAGTTTTCCAGCAGGTGGGATGCTGTTCCCAGCAGTGCCTGTTGCCCTCTGGTGGCCTCTGCTCCGGCAGGGCTGGGGGTTTCCAGCCAGGTGAGCCTGCACCTCACTGCTCCTCAGCCCTGAGGATTAGGTGGGAATTAGGGATCCTCAGCCCTTGGGACAGAAGTCAGTTCAAGGTGGTGGTTCCTAGAATTATTAAGGTTGGAAAAGACCTGTTAAATCAAGTCCACCAGCACCATGTCCTGCACTAATCCATGTCCCCAAGTGCCACATCCACACTGCCAGGTGACTGGTGACTCCACCACTCCCAGTCAGTCTGTTCCAACCCTTTCCATGCAGAAATGTTCCCTAATATCCAACCTGAACCTCCCCTCATGCCACTGGAGGCTGTTTCCTCTTTAATCCATGTGTTTTCTCCCTTTGCAGAGTGAGCACTTTTCCTTCCTGGGCATTAACAATCAGTCCAACCTGACTGACATGAGGTGTCGGACGACGTTCTACACTGCACTGGGACGTCTGCTCATGGTGGATTTAGGTACTGGAGGCTTTTCCTGGGAATCACAGCTAAATTCTGGGATTGGGATGCTGGATCCTGCTGTGTAGGGAGCTCTAAGCTCCTCCAGGAAAGGATGCTGAGATGGGAAAAGCCAAATGAGATAAAGAAAAAGGGGAAATAAGCTCCTGAGTGGGTTTGATGCCACATTGCTGAGGACAAGCCACTGCAGGTGGTGCCAGCAAGTCTGGGGCTGAATTTTTCCATCAGAATATTCCAAGTGTTTTCCTGATGTGGCAGAGTTTGTTCTCAGCCATCTGTAAGTCATTGGCAATGATACATCACCTGTCTGGAACCTTCTGGTGTCTCTGGCTCAGTGTGACTGCCCAGCACAGGCAGAGCTGCAGGACACAAGGATGTGCCGTGAATTTTCTCCTGATTTCCTCTTGGTTTTTTCCCTTTCAGGGGAAGATGAGGATCAATATGAGCAGTTCATGCTTCCCCTCACAGCTGCCTTTGAGACTGTGGCACAGATGTTCAGCACAAACACTTTCAATGAACAAGAGGCAAAAGTAAGTTGGATGGGACATTCCCTTTTATCCATGCTCTTTTTCTTAGGGACTTGGATGTTGTCAGACAGGCAGGAGAGCAATAACTTGTGCAGAGTGGGAGGTGTTCTTCCTTTGGAGTGATGGGACCTTCCCTTCCATGGCAAGGGGGGTGCCCTGTACCCCTCAGGTGTGGTTCAGGATTGGGGCAGGGAAACACTTGCAGCTTTCCTTCCCCTGGGAATGCAATATCCCAGTGCTGTCCCTGCACTGGCACTGAATGGGAAGGACTGTCCAGCCTGGGATTGACCTCCAGCATGGACAGGGATTGCTGTTGGGATGGGAGGAGGGAAGTGGAGCCAGGGAGGGAGAGATTCATGTGTGTTTTATCTTGACATGTGTTTTCTGTTTGGATGCAGAGAACTCTGGTGGGTTTGGTGAGAGACCTGAGGGGAATAGCCTTTGCCTTCAATGCCAAGACAAGCTTCATGATGCTGTTTGAGTGGATGTATCCTGCTGCTGCCCTAACCCTTGAGTCATCTGTCTGCCACAGGATGCCTGGCTGCATCCTAATGGCCTATTTTGCCCTGTGAAATCCTGACTGGGGTTTCTCAGCACTTTTATAGTACTCAGTGTCCTGTCTCTAAGCCCTAAAATAGCTTTGACTTCGTCTGTGTGCAACCAAGTCATCTACAAACTGCTCTGAGCTGAACTCTTGAGGTTTTGCCGAGTGAGCCTAAAGAGTTTGACCTGTAAATTGCAAAGGCTTTAATGGGAAACACAAAGGCTTTCATGGGATCTCTCCCAGCAGCACCAAAAGCATTTCCTCCTGCTCCCTGGAGCCAGCAGCACTGGGAATGTGTCCTTTGGGGAGGTCTCCTTGTCCTTTTGAAGCCCAAAGAGCACAGTGCTGGGCTCCAGGTTTGCTGTGGCTGCTGAAGGTCAGCTGTCTGCACTGACAGACTGTCTGGCTGCCCTTGCTTTCAAAGGCTTCTGGCTTCTGGTTTGTCTTCTAAATTCCTTATTTTTATTAGGGTTATTATTTTTCTGTGCAGTAATGAGTTACTGTTATCAATACTAACGCAGCATCTCTGGTTAATCCCATTAATGAAGCTGCTTTGCCAGGTTTTTGTGCAGTCCAAAATACACCTTTTGGTAGGAATTTTGCCCTTTTAAAACAGCCAGATTCCTTAGCTTTCCCTTGCAGTTACCCATCCTACATGCCCATCCTGCAGAGAGCCATTGAGCTCTGGTACCACGACCCAGCCTGCACCACACCTGTCCTCAAACTGATGGCTGAGCTGGTCCATAACAGGTAGGAACCTCCAGCACCTGAGAGCTGACAGGGATTTCATGGAACCGTGGAAAGGGTTGGCTTAGAAGGGGCTTTAAAGCTTATCTCTGTCCCTTTGTGTCTGTCTGCTGCTTCCTGTGGGTGTTGGTGCTCGGTTGTGTTCTCTGTTTCGATCTGTTTATGCTCTAAAAGCTGCCAAG